GCCATGTTCCAGAAGCATTCTCTCCTGACGTTTTACCTGCATTTATGGCAGGCATCCTCAGAGGTTGTGAGGTCTGTTGAAAACTAGGCAAATGAGGTTTATATATCTGTTGAATGCCCAGGGTGGGAGAAAAAACTTTTGTCTGCTTGAGGCCAGTGTGAATGTCGCAATTGGTCACCTTGATTAGCATTGAATAGCCTTGCAGCTTCAAGGCTTGGCTGCATCCTGCCTGGGGGAGTCCTTTATTCTCTGTGTATCTTAATTATGCTGGGCCATGCTTCGAGCCTTGAGGGCAGACGGGTAAGAAACCTATTATTAGTACTACGACTACTATTATAGTTATTCTGGCCATGGTAGAATTAATGCAGCTTTATTTTATTTTTTACTACATTTATATGCCGCCCTTTTCACCCCGAAGGGTACTCAGAGCTGCTTACAAGATATATATGCATACAATATATTATATTATTAGCATAGTACAATATCAGTATTATATATTACTATATTGTACTATACCATTATATTGTAATATTATTAGTAATATTACAGGTAATATAAAAATATAAATATAATATATTATTACATTACATTATAATATTATAAATATTATATGCATATACAATATATTGCATTACATCACATTATTAGCTTTAACTGCCCTAGCTCAATCCTATGAAATCATGGGATTTGTAGTTTGGTGAGGAGTCAGTCCTCTGAAAGAGAAGGCTAAAGAGACTGTCAAATTACAACTCCCATTATTCCATTGCCTTGAGACATAGCAGTTCAAGGTGAATCAATCTGCAATATTCGACATAGAACCATAGAATCATATCCTCAGAAGAGAAAGACCTCATGAGCTATCCAGTCCAACCCTCTGCCAAGAAGCAGGAAAATCACATTCAAAGCACCCTAAAAGGGAAAAGGAACCACCAGACAGATATTCGTGGTTTCCTGATTCGTTCCAAAACTGAGGGTTGGTAATTATGGCCAGATAAGCAGATGATAGACAATCTTTTTCTCTTTTGATGAAACGGAGAGCTTCTCTGGGTCATTTCCGTTTTAAACAGACATGGCTTCTTGGTCTCCTTGCTTTCTGCTGGTAGCATCACGATCTGGGGAACGAGGCGTCGGTGAGCTTTGCCCCCAAAAGAAGCATCTCACGAAGCTGGAAATATCGCTTCTCTAAGTCAGTCACGACTGTCCGCCGGGCCTCCAATGATATCCTATGTATTCAGGAAACACGAGCTCCACTTCCCTTGGCCAGAAGAGAAGACAAACCGGAAAGTCAGAGCCAGAGGGGAGGGGGAGGAAGGGGGTCTTTCCTGCTCCTTAACTGGACGCTCATTTAAACAGAACTGTGTTCAGGCTAGTTAGGGGCTCAACTCTTGTTTAACACTGGGATTATTATTGTTGTTGTTATTGTTGTTATTATTACACAGCAAACAAGGCTGTTGTATTGGATCACAGGTCGGACATTGCTAATCAAGGTGGTTAGTTGAAACAGTCACACCTAGCTCCAGCAGACAAGAGTCCTTTGTCTCACCCTGGTCATTCCACAGATATTAAACCTTTTTTCCTAGTTCCAAGACCTCACTACCTCTGAGGATGCTTGCCATAGATGCAGGCGAAACGTCAGGAGAGAATGCCTCTAGAATATGGCCATACAGCCCGAAAAAACCTACAACAACCAATTTCTCAAGTGTCTAGAACTGTGTGATGTATTAGCGAATAATGAGTGCAGATCCCAGTAGGGTGGCCTTTGGCAGCTGATAATTTTTTCAGTGTAGATTCTGTTTAAGTGTAGGCCAAGGTCTTTAGGTACTGCTCCCAGTGTGCCGATCACCACTGGCTTGGTTTTCCATGTACTGGACTGCAAGTTCCAGCAGTCCTTGCCAGCAGAGTCAGTGGTGATATTTACTATGAGCTCCAGTCTGACATTTGGACATTTATGATTCTCAACCTTGCATTAAGTGATTCAATTAAGTCTGGAAATCAACAAAAGCTGAGATTGCAAGTCAGCTGTCCACATTTGCAGATGTCACTTTTGTGGGTTGGTTAGTCATGGATTTGATTAGTATGTTCTAAGAATCTTTAGATTCTCAATTGTGATCAAATTCTGCCGGAGCTTGACCAAAGGGTTGCACTGGAGGGCCTAGATTCCTACAGAACCTAAGTGTTAGTTGGTTTTCCAGTGCAATTTTCTGGTTAAGATCTGGCAGAACTTGTCCAAAGAATTGTACTGGGGGGGGGGGGGGGGGGGGTAGATTCCTAGAGGTGTTTTCTCAAATAAAAAGTGTGTTCCTCCCCTCCCCCACTTTCCTAGGATTCTTGTGCCTAACCCCAGCAAATGTATACGGATAACTGTATTGTGTCAGAACAGACCAGACTGAAGCAGGAAAAGATAAACTGATGAAATTTTTTTCATGTCAGGAGCAACTTGAGAAACTGCAAGTCGCTTCTGGTGTGAGAGAATTGGCTGCCTGCAAGGACATTGCCCAGGGGGCGCCCGGATGTTTTGATGTTTTACCATCCTTGTGGGAGGCTTCTCTCAAGTCTCCACATGGGGAGCTGGAGCTGACAGAGGGAGCTCAACCCACTCTTCCCGGATTCAAACCCCTGACCTGTTGGTCTTCAGTCCTGCTGGTACAAAGATTTAACCCACTGCACCCTCTTCCAAATGATGTGGTAGTATTTATGCACCCTGATCTAAAGCTATGCAAGCTTAGTATCATCAACTTCAACAGCTGAATCTTACATTGGACTACTGATTATCTTTATCTTATCTACCTTTCATTGCACATTATGTGCATCTGCTTCTTTAAAGAAAAGAATTACCGTATATTCCGGCATATAAGACGACTGGGCGTATAAGACGACCCCCAACTTTTCCAGTTAAAATATAGAGTTAAGACGACTCCCATGCATAAGACTACACCCGTGTATAAGACGACCCCTGACTTTTGAGAAGATTTTCTTGGGTTAAAAAGTAGTCTTATACGCCAGAATATACTGTAAATGTGAGTTCAGCATCTGTTCTCATAAAGCCTTACTTCCCTATTACCTAAATGGAGGGATCTTGCACATACCTACATACACAACAATACATCCTTTTGCTTTCAATGGCTTATTTGCTGGTAAGTATAGGATTGCAATGAAGTAATCCTTCAAATTAATACTCAAATTAGAACTGTCTACCACAATCAAGCACTTTAGCAACATAGTCTTATCTAAACACATCTCAGAAACCCCGATATTTGATATTGACATTACTCAATACTCAATCTATCCTGTCTTTTCCTCAGCTCTGCCTTTTCAAAAATTTGAAACAGATACAGATCAAACACACAGGTAAAAATATAGAAAAGCTTTATTAAAATGTAATTAATTTATAGAATTAAAATATATAACCAAAAAGGCAAATACAAACAGTACAATACCAGGAAAAAAAAACACATTTTTCTTAAGAAGTTACCCAAAGGCTGTCAGAATAATGAAGTCCTCACTTGCTGACAAGATAGGAAGGAGGGACCCAGTCTGGACTTCCAGTACTAGGAACAACCACTCAGAAGACCCTCTGATTTTCCTACCAGAGTGGCAGGACTGAGAGAAAGGCCTCCCTGTGCAAACTGATGCATGGGCTGCAATTGCACTCCAGAATTAATGAAGCTTAACTGCCGTGATTCAATACTTTGGAATCCTGAGATTTATAATTTCATGAGGCACCAGCAATCATTTAGAGAAGGCTAAAGATCTTGTAAAACTACAACTCCCAGGCTTTCATTGCATTGAGCCATGATAGTTAAGTTGGTGCCAAACTGCATTCATTTTAGTGTAGATGAACCAAAAAGAACCTGTTCTTCAGATGATCCGCACGCATGCTAGAGAGGGTGTTATAGGCCAGAAGTGGAATTGTGCCAGGCAAGAGCCTTGCAGAATTATTCTGAGCTGTATGTATCTTGTAATAAGCCCACCCAACAGCACGGCTGTAGCTCTTGGGACCAGATGACATCTCTGAGCACTTTTCAAAGGCAGTCTCACATAGTGAGCATTAAAGATGCTCCAATATGTTGCATCGAATGCACACCATCATTAATGGATCTGAAGTCTCAAGAAATAGATATAGTTGGAGCACAAGGCTTAAATGTGCAAATGCACTACTGGTTACCAATGAAAATTGGGCTTCCAGACTCAGGGCTAAATCCATGAGTACACCCAAGCGACAAACCTGCATTTCTTTGGAAATGTCCTTATTACTTGATCAGCTCTTTATTGCTTATAATGTACCAGCCAACTCAAGTTCAGAAAGAGCACCTCGTTTAGTTATGCTTCAGTTGAATCCCCAAACAGTTATATTCCTATAGGATGTAGTATATGGTGATACCCATTTCATTTTTCTTCTTTTCCACCTAAATCCAAATGAGCTGTTTTGTCATTGACAATGAGCATGAGGGAGGCATGGGAAACTAAAGCATAACTAAGCAAGAGAGGTGCTTTTTCTGAAGTTGAGTTAGCTGGTACATTATAGTTAAGCAAAAGCCGATCAGGGAATAAGGGCACTTTCCAAGAAATGCAGGCTTGTAGATTGGGTGTACTCCTGGATTCAACCCTGAGACTGGAAGCTCAAGTTTCAATTGTACAGAAATGCATTTGCATATCCAGTCACCCGAGACACAGAGAGATTTCAGTCATCTAACACACAGTTCTTTCTTCCTCTAGCCAAGCTCAAGTATACCAACAGTGCAGCTGAAGAGCCCCAATGGGGATACAAGTGTTGTGACACTGTTTATGGACCTTTGGGCCAGACTTCTGGTACACACTGGAGGCTCCCAACTGAGTTATCTTTGCAGATGATTCAAAATTATTCTGATAACTGATCTCTGCCGTGGATTTTAACAAGTTTATAAATTAAAAGAAAAGGTACATTTTATTTGGACAGTCCAGTTGAACCAATCAGGAATTCATGAAACATTTGTCCCTTATATTTATGATACAAAAACATATGAGACACAGTTACTGAGTTGGTTTTCTTCATGATCCCATTTGATATAGTCACTTTCACATTTTATTTCAAATTTCAAAGAATTAATGCTATAAAATGAAACGCAGTATTCTAATGCTTAGATGAACCCAAAAAGACCAAGTGAGTAACAAACACACTGTCTGCTCCAACACCAATTGTTGCACCTTGTCCCCTTCTAGTAAACTCACAAGTCAAATTCTGTTAAAAAGCCATACATCACACCACACAGTAATCCACTCTCACAATACATAAGGCACTTGGAAATGTGTCACAAATGTGTAAACACACCTCTCATGTAACAGCTAAGCAAATAACATAAGGCAATCAGATTGACCAAAATGAAATGGAAGCATCTCTCAAAGAGATCTGTAACCAACAGATTTTTCTGGATTCTGCTGAACCACGATAAAGCCAATATTGAAAAGTCCGGCAAAGATGCAGCAATACACCAAAGGTCACAATAATTTCGGCAACTGTCTGAGCTGCTGTACATCAAGAAAAGTACCCACTGAATTCATGTTGCCCGCATGGTTTAAGTGACTGATAACAGGAGTTTGTGGAGTTTCGGATACCATTTGAGCACTCAGATGCTCTTTGTCAGGGTGCTGTGTAAACTCTGCTTTTCCAGGTAGACGTTTGCTTTTTGGCTTTAAGTCTCTTAAAACGGAAGTGTCTGAACCTCCATTTGATGGATGCAGGATTCTGACTGGGAGGACTGCATTGGTAACATTTCTGATCATGGGGCCTTCCGAGTTTAATATATGATCACTCGACTGTTCAGTGCCACAGTGTGTGCGGTTAAAAGGAACTTCTTTACTGCCAGTTCTTTCAAAAGGGTCCTTTGAGCTGGCTAAACCGTCTATAGCAGGGTTGAAATCTAGCTGTAGGACAGGTTTTAAATTTTCTTCTCTTCTGTAGTCATTAGTCACTTGTTCACCATCATCATCATCACTACTATCACAGCTTTGCAAGAGCCCATACTTCCTCATGTACTTTCTGGTTGCAAAAGACATATTGCTTGGGGAAATTAGGCCAAAACCCACCAAGGTCTTGTCTGCACTGGTGTGCAGGAGAGTCTGTAAAGATGAAGCCATAGAATCTCTTTGACTTGAGCGACTCAGAGAAAGTTGAGACAGTTGATTTTCACTTAAGTATTTGAGAGCAATAGCATTTGCCTCCATACTCAGATCCACACCATTGGGAGTTAAGCCACTCATGCCAACATTAGCAAACGAGATGTAATTTAGCCCTGGGATTACAGCTTCAGGATGAATACAGGCCATTATACTAAAAGAGAAAGAAAACAAGATAATCTAAATCAATTAAAATATAAACAAATATAAAACTTATTCCACCTATCTATAGATACCAGCTCGCAAAAACACAATAATCAGGAAGGTTAAGCCAATTACAATGAATTGTTAAAATACTGCAAGAGACATGTTGCTGCCAGCTGCTTTGGTGCCCTTGCCGTGCCATCCAACCTTTCCTGTGGATAGCATCTCACAGAAAATATAATCCATTTACACATTGTGACATATATGCACCAACTGACTTCTGTAAACTGTAGACTACAGTGATTTTTGTTCTAACTCAACACATTTCTTTCAGAAAAGCGCAGGCGAGGCCATGGGACCGTGTCACACCCTCCAAGGAGACTTTGTGAGGTCACATCTTCCAACTTCAAAAAGAGCTGTACCTGTCATCCAAATACCCTCTGGGGGTTTGAGGGGCATTTTTCCTAACTTGTTGTTTCCCAGGCCATCATTGGCTCGGGAGAGAGCTTTGTAACAATAGGAAGTGACCAGATATTACTTCTTAATCACTTACTGCTTTTTAAAGGCATCTCTTTTCCCCAAAATGGACAGTGAGACCAGAAATGTGACATGAAAATATTCATCCATTAGAAAATGTAAATAAAAAGCTTCTAAAGTCTTCACAACTATGGAAAGAAGGATAATGTGATAGCATGATGCTCATCCTCTTAACACTAAATGCGAATTCATGTCTAGGTTTACAAAGCAGTTAAAAGGATGCATTCCAGAAATGGTGCTTGGAGAAACTTGCAAGGCAGAGTAAGAATTATTTTTGAAACTTGGGAAGAAAAACATAGTCGTTCATATTTTCTAAAACGATTAGATCACAAATGAGGAATATGCAGCACAACATCTAAAGATCTGCTGAGCATGCTGGGCTAGACTATAGTTATAGACTATAGCTATAATCCAAAAATGGAAGGCTACAGGTTCTCGATGCCTGGCATTTATTATTAGACAGGGTTTTCCTGATGAGGACACAAAACATATGTATCATTGACATTTTACTATTCTTCTACAACATATTAAGTTCTAAAGATACTGGTCTCGCAAGGATGAACTATTGGGTAGATATTTATCTTTAGCAAAGCTTGACAACTAGCATTCTCTAGTATTACAAGCGACAACATCTGATTGGGCTATGTAAAGAATGAGATTTTGCAAAAGGAATTGGAGGCTTGACCTTAAGTGCTTTCTGCAACAGCAAACCTTTTAATAGGGTTCGATGGAGAAGAGAATTTATATCTGGATTAAAAAAAAGTCCATTTGAATATAATGGCTAGTGTTACATGAAAGGAAACATCGAAGGCAGCAATAGGTAATATATTTGCGACATTTGTGTTCTTACTGTCCAAGAGGCTCAGGATAATATTTAGGATGTATACATCTGGTTAAGGCTTCAACTTCAGGTTCTGTCATTCAGATACAGCAGCTACCACTATGTATGCTCCACTATTCAGACAACACTGATGTAGTCTGGCAGCACTTTGAAAACTGGGTTAACTGGAAGCATTCTGAAATTTTGTTTGAATTGCTAACCTAAGCATCTTGGATTTAAGATACTTAAGTTAGCAATTCAAACAAAATTTCAGAATTTGAAAGACTGGTTGGGGAATAGTGATCTTTCCCTCCCACCACCCCTATTAGCTCTACACCACACGCTATTTTGTTTTATTAACACTTTCCTTTTGTTTATCCCTCCCCGCTCATCTCTCCACAGACCATAACCAACTGTTTCATTTAGTTACACCTCTTTAAATCTTCAGCTCCAGGATGAGAATGAGGAGAATCAGAAGCATACAGTGCTCACAAGTGACAACCTACCCCTTTGGAAGAATCAAGTTTTCTATGACCCTTTGTCCAGATTTTCTCTCTTTAGATGAAGGGTGCAAGACATGCGTCCCATTAAGATTTGCAAATGTTATTAAAACAATTAATTTAAAAGAAACCAGGTCAAAGATTTTTAAAAAGATTTTAAAAAACTAATTATGAAACTTCTAATTACATCCCATGGGATATTGTGCACACACAAACTCTTTCACGGCAAAGTCAATGAAAAGAGAACCTGAGAAAGAGAATAGGTCTGAACAAGGAGAGAATATCTGGATATAAAAGCAAAGAATCAATTTTTTATGTACTGAAAAATAATTTGAACACAATTCACAAAATTTCCCAAGCCTGTATCTTTTTCTAATGAAAACAGTATATCTAAGTATGTATTATGGTTATTATGGGGAAATAGATTGAAATCTACAAAATGTCATGATGAAACAAAAAATGAGTCTTAATACTGTCATTAGATAATTAAATCTTTCTCACTAGTGATAAACATTGATTGAAATAATTGGAATCCTTCAGCACAACAATTTTGGATTGAACTGAAACTTATATTATCCCACACAATTGGCTATGAAAACCAGGACTCCTGGGACTTGTACTCTGACAATATCAGGAGAGCAGCAAACCCACCATCCAAAAACTACTGGAGCAACACATTTCCCTTAGTTACCTGGCATTCTCAACTTTGTGAGCACTGTTCATCTTATGAGGAGAGTCAAAATTCACTCCAAGTTTTTTTAACTGCTTCAAGGTTGCATTCAAAACATTATCTTGATCTTTTGGGACAGGTTCAGGTGCTGAATCTCTTTTCGCTTTACTCAATTTTGAAGAAGTGCTACATTCATTGCTTATTACATCTTCTTTTCCAGAGGAACTGTTTGCTTCAGAAGATGCCTTCAAGAAATGGTTTACTTGGCCCTAAAGAAAAACGTAACAGTTTTTTAAAAAGCTACCATAATTAGAGAAACAGCACATAACAGAATAGCTCATAGTTTACTGTCAATATCGTCAAGGTTACAGCTATTTTCATATAGCTGAAAATGACAGAAAGTTGATAATGAAGTGATTATGACACAATGTTTGAGGAACATAAGCATCTCTTCATTACAGCAACTACAGTTTAACAAATAAATTAATTAGTTTGTAGATGAAGATTTCCTACCCTGGAGTTTCATCTGCACTACTTTCAAATGTCCCTTCAATGTTACTTTCAAGAGAAACATCTATAAACAAACACAGCTTTCCCTGAACTTTTACAAAAAGTGATCAAATTAGCCAACCCTCTAGAACGTTTTGTATCTATATTTTTATATGTTTCCATCAAATACAATAATTTCTTCGTATCAGAATAATCAAATTTCATTTTTTAGAACAAATACAAATCCTTTACTTATTATGTCACATACTATAATCAGAAGAATGCATGGAAAGAATATCTATCATGGAATATTCAAGATTTTAGAGGAAATGTGAAGACACAAATAATAATGTACATTTTTGATGCTGAGAAAGCCACTGTCATTTTAAAAACTAATTTCTGTGACAATGCTGTTAGCAAACTTCAGTTAGGTAAGAACATTAAACTGAAAGGCTATGAATGGATATGATATGAAAACTTACTAAGATATCCTGGTAAAATTTTTGATCATCTGGTGGGACAGTTGGCAGGTGAGTGACAACTTTTTCAGTGTTTTGTTCATTAATTGTTACCAAATGATTGACAGTTCCCTCTGATGATCTGGGCTGCATGCACATACTAACACTTTCATTCAGTAGAGAGGTTTGGGCTATCCCTGAAGGAGCTGGCCCACTGAAAGAAGCAGACATAAACAATTCAAGAGCTAATTCAAATGAGTAAATGAAATGGTCAGTATCTGGCCAGCTTTGGAACAGAAAAGACAGAACTATCTTAAGTTAGATATTGTGCAACTCTTAGTTTTGTAAGATAGATCAGCCACTTCCAAGTCTGAAGATTTTAAAGATCAAAAATATTTTTGCTCCATCTTCTTGCCTCATTTAATACAAGTGTCACATGTATTGTGTTAATACTGACAGGAAAGACAGGCATTCTCACTTAAAATCAAAATATGTTTCTACAGCAGAGGCTAACAAAATTTAAGCAGGATATATTACATTGCAAGCTGACTTTCGTATTCACTTTTCAAGGTTTTGGAGAGTTGAGGAACCTGCATCCTGCTAGAACACAGAGAACTGCCATCTCTGCACCTTGAGGATTGTACAGTATTTGGCCAGTCCTAGGGCAAACAATTCCCTAATCAAATAAAAAGTGTAACACATTTGCAGACACCCCCCCCCCAAAAAAAAACCATACTGTTAAATAGCAGGACTGAAACTGGGATAATAAATGCCACCTAGATCATACACTGACCCCTAGAACAATGTAGATACTAAAGAAAGTGCCAGAGCTCAAAGCAATCAATTGTATACATTGAAAGAGATAAGATATAGATCACCTACTGTGCCAGTTAGTCAATACAGGTTATCAATTGCTGCTAGAGGTGATATTTTTATCCTCCTCAGTAAGATTATGCAAGCTAAATATTTCAAAAAGTCACCTTGACAACTGCTAACTTTGGTAGTATAATGTAAATGCTTGCCTGAATAGTTAAAGATATGCAAGCCCACAAACTGTTTCTAGAATATGAGCTCCAAACAGTAGTGAACATGCATGTAAATTAATGAAATGAGACACAAATCACAATTCACGAGGCTTCTTACAGCTGCAAGAAGGGAAAATAGTTATGCAAAACAAATTTGGGGTTGAATCTGTTATGTTTGTACATAAAATCTATTGGCAAGTGACTTCAACTACTTCCATAATCAGCTGTCTGTACCAACTAGCCAGCCGATGAGAGAAAACTGACTTCTGTTGTACTTTTTAAGGGTAAGCTATGCCTTCTAACTTTGTTGGATGCTACATCTTTCCATGTAGCTTTAATTGCCTTTAAATATAAATAGGAGCAGGTAACTATCAGGGTTTGGGATGGTGAAACATGAGGTCCATAGGATCTTCCAATGCAGCCCTAACCTTCTAATTTTTTTAAAATTTTCTGTACTCTTACCATCACCACACACAACCTGATCTATGAATTTACTCTCTAGTTGAAAAACAATGCTTGCTTTACTTTCTGTTCCCTAATCAAAGTCCTGTTCAATTTCATTTTTTCTCATTCAATGTATAGTTTGCTTCATGGTTGAAAATGGCCTCTGGTCGCTTAAGATAGCCTGGTGAAGGAGCAAAAACAAAGGCTTTAAAATATGTTTTGGAAAGGAGTTGGAAGACCCCTGGGGATCTAAAAACTGTTGTGCATATTGCTTCCTCCTTTATTTTAGAGTTCCTAAAATGAAAATGTAAACTGGATTCACAGTTTTTATATCTTTTCAAGAAAAAAAATAGATGAAGTACTTTTTTATTTCTAGAATTAAAAGAGTAGTTTTTCAACAGATGAAAAATATTGACATGCCTTCTGTCTCTAACAATATTTTATTCTGAAGTTGAGTGCAGAAAAATAGCTGTAGATTTTTTAAAAAATGCATTTGCCTTTGCAACAAAGTTAAATTGAATAAGAATGTAAAAAAAAAAAAAAAAACCCAACACCCCTGTGTGAGGGAAGTATGCAAAATCTATTAAAGCAAGTCGGAAAGACACTTAAAACAGAAACTTTACCCAAGTCCAGCAGAATGTTGACCAGGTCCTTCTTCGACTACATGTACACTATCTACAAAGCTGGGTATATCAACAACTTTTAATGAAGAGGCAATGCTTGTCTGACTTCTGTCTTTTTCAGAGTTCATAGAAATGTTGAGATCTTCATTGGAAATTTCAACATCATCCTGTGCCACAGAATCTTTGTTTCTCTCCAAAGGGGCATTCAAGTACAAACTAGCACCTAAACAGAACCAAACAAGGACATTTGGTTGACTTTAGCAAAATTAGGGGCACAACATCCTATATTCATGGGCCCCTTCAGTAATATATGTACATCATTTTCAAGCTCAACAGATAATCTTGGTACCAGATGATGCAACTACCAGTTAGTCAGTGTTGTACATACAAAGTTTATCAAGAAGAAATTGCAAACAATATGCCATTCAGGGGCAGTTTCCTATCATGGTTAGTGCATCTTGTGATTTCAGGTTCTTGAAGGAGCCACCCCCCCCCCCAAAAAATCCCCCAGTAATCTCTTATTGAAATGTGATTTGAGATACCTCTGATCTTATTAGACATTTCTTAGCAAGATGAGAGTTACCGCACTAAGGTGAGATGTCATATAGCTCTAAAACGTTGCTTAATATTGAAAGTATTTCATATTCACCTGAGCAAACCAATTCATACACAATGAAGATGATAATTCAGCCCTCAGTAAACAGTAAGATAGTAGCACTGAAGGGAAATCAACACAGTGTTCAAGTTTGGTTAGAGGACCCACATTTGGTTGCAGTGTTCCACTGGGACAATTAGAAGATAGCATAACAGGTTCTAAAGAGCGAAATCAAAATGGCTCCTGTTTCCCATTGCTGACTTGTTAATGTCAATGCTATGAAAGTGTACAAGCCATTCATTACCTGTGCTCACTGCAATGCTGACACTTTTTTTCATGTGTAACACTGGGGAGGATTGGGTTTCCATGGCAACAAATTCTAGCTGCTTCTCCGACTGTAAACTACTGCTTGATATAGTCTTAGTGGAACAAGAGTGAAGAGTCTGTGCTTCTAAAAGCCGCTGGATCTGTAACCATGTAAGATCAGTGTTATTTGAACTGCCAAGATAATAATAAAAATGGGGAAAGCAATTAGTGTAACAAATATCACTTTCAATGACTTGACTTTTATGGAGAAAATACTGCTGTTTCCTCAAAGTATGCAAGGTAGCAAATGAAAGTATATCTAGCATACAGAATTTTGTAGATCAATTATTAATACCATCAAAATTGGAAGTCTCATTATTACAATCTAGCTGGCTTTTGCTCTGCATCATTCCTAAATCTAAGCAAGTTGATTTAAAATTAGCCTTTAAAATTACCAATGTGAATAACCCTTGTCACCATATGACACATAAAATAGTTTAAATGTATCACTAATCCATTATACTAAAGTTTATATTCACCTTAGAAGATAGAATAAAAGGAGCATATATAAGCATATTTGTCTGAAATTGCACCTATTGTGGGAATGTTATGCTTCAGTAATTAAATACATTCTAATTATATTAAGAAATCACAAAAGGAATCCAACAAACCTGAGCTTGTAGCAGCTTGATCTGCTTGTCTTGTTCAGTAAGAATTCTGTAAACATCTGAAGATAATCCCATCATTTCATTATCTGATCTCATTTTTGGTGCAGGAGGGTGCATACAAAGTGAACATACTGTATGAGGCTGTGCATGGCAAGGATCTTTGGGAGAAGAAGTACTCAGTGTTGCTGCCAAATGATCATTCTGAGAACAATGCCCTGTTACTCCATAATGGCCTAGGCTCCTAGGACTACTGGTGGCACATACTAGATTGCAGCCAGGATCTGTACATTCCATGTTTTGATGGAGGATTGACTGTGTAGCCTCTTGGGTGCTACTTGTCCGGATTTCAGGTGTGTGATCAGAAGTCACTCTATACACCCCTTGCCATGCATTTGTCGGAGTGTATTGCATATGGCTGTGTAACTGACAACTGCAGACAAAAGGAGGGCAGCAATGCGGATGCTGAAGTGGAATCTGAAGCTCCAATGGGCTTTTCAAATGTGGAGGTGACAGCCCACAGCTATGACACACAGGCTGTGAATGTACAGGAGACGGCTTAGATTTAGATTCAAAGGCTCCATTAACAGAAAGTTCTCCATTTCTTTGTGTAATATCCTGATCTCCTAAGTATGTTTCAGTAGGTTTTCCAAGTCGATGAGAAGATGTGTTGGGAGACGGTTCACCACAAAGTTCTGAAGAAGAAGGGGGTGAAGAAGACTGAAAACTCTTCTTTGCTTGAGACCCAACTGTATCCAGCTGCTTTTGTACTGAAGGTTGCATTCCTTTACAAGGCTTTAAAATTGGAATTCTTTGTTTTATTGGTCTTGGAAGAGATTCTCTGGTAAAACCACCAAGTATTGGTTTGCCAGTATCAGAATTCTGATAATGGCGGGATGAGTGCTTTTCTGGGCATGCCATCTTATCAGGTTGATATTCACATGGAGGTTTGTTTTTTTTATCCACAAACATGACATGTTTTGGTGTTGAAACTGTTTCTGCAGAAGTGCCATCAAATACAAGTGAAAGTTCTGGTACTGAAGGCTGGATCTCTGTTATCTGGAAACCAGGTAACTTATATTTAAAAACATTTTGACCATTGTGACTGATCTGTGCACTTATATTACAAATTTAATCTGAGTATTTTTCTTTTCTTGTCAGGATATATCCTACATTACAGATATAAAATTAATACAAATAAAAAGCATGCAAATATATTCATAATGAAACAGGAGGACTTGAGTATGACATCGTTTCAAGTCCTACAATAAGAGATTCAGCATAAATTCTTATAATACTATCACATGTATGGCAGAATATTCTACTTTAAAATAAACCTGTATCCAGTGTGTACCAGCATACAAAATACAAGCAACTTCGTTACATAAGGAACAAGCACTGACTCTTTAGTTTTGTATTCAGTTTTTTTATATAGGATAATCAATACCATCTCAATTAGCAGCCATTTAAGTTCTTAATAAGCATATCTGTATAGCTTAACCACTGTTTCTGCTCCTTCTCTTTTGTGTTGATATGCTGCTAGAACATCCCTACTAAATTAAATCAAATAATTAGGCTATGGTTGAGCTGGTTTAATGCTTGGCATGTTTATACAGCAGAATATGTCTCCTCTTGTAAAATCTTTCCTTAAATTAATCTGGGTGATATATTGTAGTAATAAAGGGTTAATAGCACTATAGTACAACCTAGTGGCAAAATGATGGCATTGCACCATTCTGATATTGGATACCAGTGGAAGCTGGTAGAACTTTTCAAATAAAGCCAAAAATTACCTGTTGACTCACTGGATGAGGACTAGGAAATAGTCTTGGGGATGTATCATCTTCCACACCTGAGTCATGATCACTAACAGATAGTTTGTTGGAAGGCATACTTTGAGACAGGCTAAAAAGAGTTAAGGTTATGTTGTAAAAACATAATTTACTACAAAGATTGAAATATCAGTTTGATACTCCGACCATATTTGATACAGTTTGATACTCCGACCAATGAAATGTGGCCTACACAGGACATAGGACAGTATTCTAAAGCAGGGTTTCTAAAAGTTGAGGTCCTGAAAAACGTATCACCAAGTGGCTGTTTCAGACATTTACATTAATTGGTTATGCAATGTTTACAGTGGACTCTGCAAGAGTTGCTTCAGTTGTACTTCATAAAAGGAAAACAAGCCTGTTTAGCAAGCCTGGCAAATACTAATTTGTTATAAATAAACATTTGATTTCTCTCTCTCTCTCTCGCTCTCTCTCTCTATATATATATATAGAAATCAAATGTTTATTTATAACAAATTAGTATTTGCCAGGCTTGCTACATATAATGTAAAAATTTCTCAGACCAAGAGGGATCCCAAGTGGAAAAGTTTAATAAGCCCTATTCTAATCTAAGCTGCTGGCAGAGAAGCTACACATGCCACATAAAATCCTTTATCACCTTTCTAACAGAATTAACTTCTAAGTAGCCATTTTATTTGTGGATTCCTTTGGGCTATTGTTGCAGTTCCACTAGTCAAAAGGGGAAAGGGTCTGCAGTCTTTCATCTAGCAAATCAGTAACAATTAACTAAGTTTTGCAATTATGAAGACAAATGATCTGAGAAAAGCTTCTAGAACAGGGGTCCTCAAACTAAGGCCCGGGGGCCAGACTCGGCCCTCCAAGGTCATTTACCTGGCCCTCGCTCAGGGTCAACCTAAGTCTGAAAAGCACACAACAACTACAAAAATCCTATCTCATCAGCCAAAAGCAGGCCCACACTTTCCACTAAAATACTAATAAGTTTATATTTGTTAATTTTTTTCTTCATTTTAATTATTGTATTGTTTTTAAGTGTTTTTACATGACAAATAAGATATGTGCAGTGTGCAAAGGAATTCATTCATGTTTTTTTTTTCAAATTATAATCCGGCCCTCCAACAGTTTGAGGGACTGTGACCTGGCCCTCTGTTTAAAAAGTTTGAGGACCCCTGTTCTAGAACATTAACTCTCTCACACACACATCAGGAACAACTCACTTTGTAGCTAAAAAACTTGGTAGGTTCTATTTGATTGCCTATGGCTATTTTGTATGACTATATGAAACATATTAGACATGCTATTCATAACAGATTGAATGTATCATAACTACTATTAACTATTCTGTTCAGAATATATTTACTGCATGGGAAGAAAATCTTCAAGTACATAACTGAATATTAGTAGAAAAATGTATTTGTACAGTATGCCTAAACACCTGAAAAATAACTCACCCATTAATGGAAACAGTTTTCAAAATTTTGCTGAAGAATTCCATTTCTGCATTTTCATTCTTTGAGCTCAGTTCAAACTGGATAGGACATTTCCCTGAAGGTTCTACATTCTGAAATGAAACAAATGCAATAACTACGTTCATTCAATACCAATCATAAAATTGCCTCCACATTCGTCCTGAGATCTAAGAATTCTCAACAAACAAAAATATTAGGACTACCTTCTACTTCCTAGGAATGCTTTCACGGGAAGAGTAATGATGGGTAAGATCACATACTAGCCAAGATAAAGGCTGGGGAATCAAAAGGTACTGCAAATCTCTAATATGAAGGCATATATGGAGAGGAGTAACAGGAGTATGCTGCTCAATGAGGCATAATTACAGAGAAACTGAAAATCTCTTTTGATCCATTTTTATCCTACAAAGCGGGGCACAGATTAGTCGCTCTCCAAGCAGTATAAATGCAAAGGGTTTGTATTCCTTTTGCTGACAGCAAGTATGACACAAAGCAAATCTTTTTTCTCCAGGAACAATAATAATCAAAAGATGGAGAGTACTATGGTTTAAAATAACAAAAAATAGACTTGAAAATGTAAATTAGGATTAAAAAATTAAGTATAAATGTATGGGAACCCACTTTTGATGAATTGGAAATTCATCTGAAAACAGTTCAGAATTTATTGGTGTATGTAACTTCTAATGAAACCTGCATCACTGACATACACTATAGCTTTATAAAAATAATGTCCTTATTTTAAAAAGTGGTTTAGAAACTCTCTTTTTTACTTGTGATTTAACCTGTGACTTAAACGGTCTTTCAGAAAAGCCACTTAAATCAAAATCAGTTCTGTAAGTTCCTGCCCATGCCTGCTTTAACCTTATGCAAAAGTATTATCAGCCAAAAGTCATCCAGTGAAATTTACTAATAAATAGAATGTTTGAATATAGATTTTTAAAAGTAACTACTAGCTTTGGAAGAAAAGTAAATAGAGTCCACCAACAGCACAACTACAAGACTATTCCATATGCAGAACCACAAAAGGGATTATTTCAGAAAATCCTATTTTTAGGCATGCTTGTCCCTTAAACATTTCTAGGAATTGATTGCTGCTGTGGTCATTTGTATTTCCAACATTCAAATAACTTACTTTGAACAAATGCAGTGCTTCTTTACTTGTAAGTAGCTGGAAATCTAGTTCAGTATTTCCACCACAAAGAAAGCATTCATAGAATTCTGGACCATTACACTTCAGGGAATAAAGCACAACAAGAAAGCTGCCCAATTCTGAAGGTACCCTAAAGAGAACACTCATTAGATAATAGAAACAAAAGATGGGCCATAATCAGGGCATCACATTGCTAGACCAGTTATCTAGTGAGCATGACTAAAGTCTCTTCTACACAGCCCTATATCCCAGAATATCAAGACAGAAAATCCCACAACATCGTTCTGAACTGGGTTATCTGAGTATACGCTGCCATATATTCCAGTTCAAAGAAGAAAATGTGGGATTTTATTCAGCTGTGTGGAAGTGTCCTGAGAGAGTATGTCTCTAAGTCATTTGTTGCATTTCTGCAGTCAACTTCCAATGGAGAACCTTGAGAGACCAAAGTAATCAAATCCACAAATCATGCCATACATAAAAGTTTTCAGCCTTGATATTCTGGGTTATATAACTGTGTGTAAGGGCCCAAAGACTATCTACCCCCCATTAACAGAATAGAAACCAAATAACTGTGGAGCTTGTTTCCAAAAGGTACTGGTCCATCTGAACAAATTTTACAGGAATTAAAAATAACATGCCAAGGATATGCATTCTTTTGGTATAAAACACAATTTTCAAAGCCCTGTACCAAAGTGATTTGATATTTTTTCATAGTTTTGAAACCGTAAAATATGATCAATGGTCTTGGAACTGAAGTCCCAAACAGTTGGAAGATCAACCTCTTGCCCTGGATGATTAATAATATTGTATCCCTTCTGCTATGTCTCAAGACAGTTACCTCCCATGCTTTACTGTTTTGTTTATTTATTTTATTTATTTAAAAGTTTTGTATACCGACCTTCTCACCTCTCTTGAGGGAGTCAGACCGGTTTCCAACCATAAAATCACATACAGTCAATAAAACATCATAATGCATATTACAATAAAACATTAAAACAGCAATTGTTGTGTTTTTGGTGGTTGCTTTAATTCCAAAACATAAAGATGGAATACATTCTGATAAATCAAAAATGCTGACAACTGAATGTTTACAAATAGAAGGCTTTCCTCTAACAGGCAAAATTGTCTATTAAGAAAATATATTTAACTATAGTCACCTCTCTTGAATTGAAGAGCTAAATAAATAGCGCAGACAGAAGGCCCAGACATGTGGACTATAGATATGAGATATTCCACTCAACCAACTAAAAAGGAAAGAAAAATAAAATGAGTGAGTGCTCAACTAGACAATGATGTCACAGCAATTACACACTCCTGTAGCTCTGATATTTTATTGAAATATGTTTCATTCATTTGAGTTTGTTTTGAAAATACATTAGCCACGATATCTCATTTTCACTTGTAATGCCAAACCATTCCCAAAAATGATACTGGAAAAAGAAATCACATTTCAATACTTACATGCCTACTAATGGCAAAGTATAGGCTTTGGGGTCAGATTCTAGAACTAGAAGTAATTTCCTTGTCTGGTCCATTGTAAGATACCTAGAAGAGAGAAAGTAATTTTCTCAGGATATTTTAAACCTATTAGTACTTATACAAATCAACTGTAAGCTAAACTAAATATCTTAAATGTTTAATGAGAATAACATTTCAACTACTCACATCCAGAACAGGAAATATGTGAAGTATTTTAATAAATTCTTTATTGCACACAACACTGTAAAACACTTTGAAGACATGGAATGAAGACACCAATTTTCAATAACAGACTGGGAACCCAAATGCAAGCTAGCATTTTTCAGGGCAAATTGTAAACCAACATAAAACCATGCAGTTTAGAACAAGTGTTGCAACATAATGTCAGTAATATAACATCATCATCAAATTAGGTACTGTACTCTGTGATGCAGGGTCAAAAATTAATTTCTGTTAATATTTATTTATAAGTCAATTCTGATGTGACAGTTCTTCAGAATGGTATGTATGTAATATTTATATGCAAATTCTTCCAAGCATAGGGGAAATGAGCAGCTTTTGCATGCTATAGATCTTACTCCAGGCTATTGCATTGAACTATTTCCTGCAGTTGCAACATGAACATAAAAGTTACATAAGCAAAAGCTAGCAGTTGTAAATGATCAATAAAGCAACCCAAGGGGACAGGCATATAATGTACCAAAACAACTGAGTTGAAATTGATGAGAAGAGCCATAACAATATTCCAATTGGTTGTGAGTAGATTGCCATGGAACATGCAGGAGAGATGACTTCCAGTATGTAAAAGTTTAACTGACTGCACAGTAATTATGTGATTCCTAAACCAAATTAACCAAAGTTGCACATGAATAATTTAAACTTCCTCATTGAATCACTCACCCACACTTGCAAGTTCCCTGAACTTGTGCAATATTCATGTGGCTGCTTAAATTTCTAGCAAGAGCTGTTGGAATTATTGGAACAGACTTCACCGGAGTACATTTCAAGGCATTAGCCACTGTTACAGCTGCCCAATGAAACTCAAAATTTAGATTGTCCATATTCTCTATTGACGACATATGAACTTTCAATGTCACCAATTTGGAAGGATCCAAACCATCTTGACTGCTTAGATTTTGATGAATTGCCTACAGCAGAAAAAAAAATGTGTCATTAGCAGGGTGTGACATTGGAGGAAGAGGTTATGATGCTGTTCAGGCACTATTATTCTGGGAAAGACTTTGAAACAGCAGCTAGATGTTAACAAGGGAAGATAACAGAACTACAGTACAGAAGAGGCACAGAACCGAGAAGCATGCTTTGAAGTTTCGTACCTTAAAAGCCAAGTTGAAATCTTGAGAGTTGTGCACTGGGACATCACCCAAAGATGATCCTAAATAAATTGTACATGGAATCAAAAAATCTCCAGGAAGAAGGGCTGTCGGTATTTTCTCCAAGCCACCATTAACTGGACGGCCCGGATCAAAACGGTCTACTGTTAACAATACGCCTTCACCATCTGTGTCAAAAGAATTTAAATCAAAACACACAATATGCCAATTTTATGTTCATAAAATTCAAAGATTCATTTTTCTTCATCCAGGGCCATGGTTCCCCATTTTTTCATGTGTCAGCTTTGAGAGCCAGACAAGTATTACCCAAAGTAAAAGGCTGTAATTTGGGGAAGTGCCACAGCTCACTGACACAGTCATGTGCATTCTATGCAGCATGTTGCTGACTTCTCTATTTAAAAGGGATATTAGTTGGCAGGATAGAAAAAAAATTCCATCTGAAAATATGGGTAGTACTGCTAGTTGACTACATGGATCAATGGTGTGATATTGTAAGCCAGGTTCAAACATGCTCAAAATAATACAAAACTATTACGTGCAGTGCAGCAAATTAACCAACCATTACTGGATTTGAGACCTGGCCAGCAATTTAGATGTTTATACTACTGCTGCAAGTAGGGAGCAAAGTTCTACCTGCTCACTCATAAATGCAGACAACTCATATTAAATACTCAGTTCGTTCTGAACATACTTTGTACAGCTGTGCATTTGAATGCATAATTATTTACTTGAGCAATGCTTTCTTTAAGAGGTTAAAGTAATTTCAATCAGTGCTATACCCTTCCTTTTATGCAACCATGCATAAGCTATCCTCCAATATCTGCTCCCAGAAGCTGTTTTTTTATACCATTTCAGCAATAAGGCTGAGAGACCTTAGAAAAGGCTGATATCGTGATATTTGTAACTGTGAGAAATCTTCAATCAGTCTTTTCATCAAAACAACTGAAGAATCTTGGAGGTCCAAAATAAAGCACAGCTTTACGTTGTATAGAAACCTTATTCACAAGCCTCACCTACAAACTCTAGATTTCTATAGAAGTTATATATGTGCACAGTCATGATACAGCAGTCCATTTAGCAGTATAAAACATTATTTGAACACACCAGTTTCCTGATTCAAACACAGAATCCAGCAGAAAACTGGACAAATCAGGAGTTGGCAGCATGATTCTCCAGATGCTATTTGACTGCAACTTCTATAAACACTAGCTACGTAGCACAGTCTATTATAAAGATCATAGGAGCTGTAGTCAAAGAACAAAGGGTTACAGCTGACTACTCTGGGATTAGAAACAATAAGGCAGTTTCATTTTTGGTAGAAGCTGAAAGATAAAAATAAAGAATATCTTATAATAAAGATGTAATGTTTACTGATTCAATCAGAAATACAATGGCTTTCAAGTGGCCTTTAGCAATTGAATTACCTTCATCTACCTCAAGAGTTCCAACTAGAAAACAGGTGAAGGGGTTTCTTCGACTTTGTTTTGCATGGCGATGGGCAAGTCGCAGTGTTTTCTCAGTCATGTTTAACTTAAGGTTTCTGAAGAGACAATTTCAATAGCAGAATTAGCTATGTCTTAAATGAATTATCTTAGGACCTTCAAGTGTCTTCTAGAAACCCCCCCCCCCCAATTATTGAACAAAACACATAACAGAAAACAACATGTGAATTGAAAAAGTTCCACATAGAAATGGAAAAAATGAGCGATGAACTTAGGAAATGTTTTTTGGATTTGAAATTATTCATTTATATGTATTTTATACAACATTAATCATAATGACTTGAAATCATTTCTAGCCATCTTTTTAAAGCCGTAACAGAAAAAGGTGAGCTAGTTCTTCAAATCATTAAGTGAGGAAAGACCCACAATACTTCCATGAATGCACCTTGCCCAATGTCAGACAGTAAATCTGGTACTTGTTGTAACTATACTACACTGCAGAAAGAAAAAGTTACCATCTTGGACACAACAATTTTAATAACATATTTTCTTCATTCCAGTCCTCATGAATACATTTTATTCCATAATATCCTTTTAAGACAATGTATGATTTCATTGTTAAATCAATGACTGGAAGACCAGCAGAAAAATGTATTTGCAAATAAGTGGGGAGGAGAGGTCAGAAAAAATGTAGTGCTTTTAAACCTGAAGTCATACCTATAGTAAGTCAGGTGAGAGACTGAACTTTCTCCAGTTGGAGATGGATCCCAAAGTGCATATTTTGATGGAGGAAAACTAAAGGGCACCATTTTTGCAAGAACCCCTCTGAAAAAAGTAAGAGAAGTTAGTTGGAGTCTAGAAGACAATATATTTTAAAATAGCAACAAAGAAATGTTCTATTAACGTGAAAAAGGAATGAGTCATGCTTACTCTCTGATTTTACATGAAACTGGCAGTCTCTTCTCATCACCTTTGAATGTATGACTGCTAAAGAATTAGTTGTTTTGACATTTTGGAACTATTTCCGTTCAATTTCTAGACAGTAACAAATGAACAGAATAGACAGCACTATATATTCCTTCTCTGTGTGTATATAAACACACACACACAGAATATATATACACACATATGCACATACTGTATAACAAAATATACCATATATGAAACATACTCTCTTGTCTAAAAAAACTGTGCCTATGATGTTTGAATGCAGATCTTTATTCTACACAATTACTAAATATTGTTTGAAAGCCCTTGATTCAGGCATCAATTACTATGTTTCAGGCACTAGCAACAGGTCCTAGAGTAGGGGTTTAATTCAGTACTTCAATCCGAAAGGAGAGACTCCATATAAATGATGCCACAAATCATGGCTTGGCTTACAAAGTAGTTGCAAATTTGTTGTCATCACAGATTTTTCATTCACCAAAATTTGTTTATGCATATCAAAGTGATATAAGAACCAATTTCTCCTCTCTCTAGAATTGGGGAAGGAGAACGTGTATTTCTCCTGATGCGATAAATAGGGGACGTTTTTAAAAATCTAAGGGCACTGGTATGCCAGTTTATAGAAGCCTGGCAATGCATCTCTCTTCCTTATTACCTCAAAAACATAGTGGACAGAGCAAACGATTTTCTTAATATTTGTTTTTGAACTTCAAGTTCCATTATGATCATGTTCAAAGACTCCATTAAAGTAAACTTTTCTGCCTCTTAAATGTGTGTGGAGTCTACCATTATGTAAAATCTACTATTCTGTCCTGAACACACCAACCTCTCATTCATATGTTTTACTATCACTCCCATAGTTACACATACTTGAAATTTTCAGTAATCAATAGAACAGTTTCAGTAATTTATTTAGGAATGCATTGATTAGAAACAAAATGTCTTCCAAATTTAAACACCTTATGGCTACAGATCTTCCCAATCACTACATCAACATTTTAAAAGGAACATCAAGTGTTAAAGACCCTCAGTACAAACATCCTGCTAAGTTCATGACTAACTGAATAATAAGTTTAATACGCTGTAACAAAAAGTTAAACTTGGTAAAGTATTACATGTAAAGCATATGCATGAATGCCTAAACTTATTAATTTCAGTAGGATATAAATACCAGGTCTAATATAATTGACTGTTAATTTTAGTATTTATAGTGAACAAGCCTATCACAATACCACCTTTGATTCTGAGGTACAGGAGAAATTAAATCCATAATGCTGAAGGTATCAAATTTGAACACTTCACCCTAAAAAAAGGAAAAGAATAGAATCAGATAAATATGATTAACATATGCCAACTATTAAAATTTTAGCATAGTAATACAGTAAAGAAACTGCTAATTACAGTTGTCCACAACATTTGAAGTTTTGACTTCTGCAGATTTAATTAAAAATGATCCCTCAAGGATTCTTTAAAACAAACCAATGTGACTCTATGGTGATCTTCCTCTGGTCACACTGGGGGACCATGATAATTATAGCGGAAACACCTCTCTAGGAATCTGTAGGTCCCCCAGTGTGGTTCTATGTTCAGCATCTAGAAGATGATCATACAGTGCTGGAAGACTAGAACCTCTTACAGTGATGTTTTCTCAAGTAAAGAAGCCAACTATTTCTTTATTTGTGGTTTTTCACTTTTATAGAGATCCCTTACTGCAGTCAATGTGGAAGGCTGATTACATTCACTTTGTAAACACCTGAGGTTTGAATTTGCCAAGTCTGTCACACCCAAGCTAAGACCTGCACCTGGACTCAAAAATATTAGTTTAACAAATATAAATCCCTAGAAATCATTAAAACTCATCTATCCTTGAGTAAGGAATAGTAATACTTTTTGGCAGGGGCATTCTGTTCACCATAAAGCATTAATGGAAGAAAGAGAACATTTCCAATCCCACATTAAATTAATGCTAATGTGTCCTACCCTTTCACAGATGCACAAAATAGCATTTAATTTTTGCATCAGTGGTGAAATAGGTTCATATGAGAGTGATATCCTGGCCTATAGCCATGCTTTAAAAGGTGGAAAGACAACTTAATAAAGCAACTGCCAAAAACTTTTAGAACTGACCAGTATCTACATTCTGGCAAAATCATCCCTGGTCAAATACCTGGTGCCATTGTTTCCTATTTCTCTGCTCCCTAGTATGCTTTGGACGGGATGAGCTTGCTTCATTCATCATATACAGCCAAATACAGAACCCCAGCCCCCCATTTGTGAGTTAACTTTTGTGGGTGGGATAATTTGTGGATTTGATTACTATGGTCTCTCAAGGTCCTCCATTAGAAGCTAACTGTAGAAATGCAATGAAGGACTTAAGAGACATGCTCTTGGGTTATTTTTCCCCAATTCACAATTTTTCCAAGTTTGTGTGGGTCCCATGCCCCTAAGTGCAGCAAATGTGGAGAACTGACTGTAGAGCAATGATTCTCAACCTGTGGGTCCCCAGATGTTTTGGCCTTCAACTCCTAGAAATCCTAACAGCTGATAATTGGCCGGGATTTCTGGGAGTTCTAGGCCAATACATATGGGGACCCACAGGTTGAGAACCACTGCTGTAGAGCCACATACAATGGGGCCAGGCAGCCAAAGTAGTCCTGCATTTGCTACTTTTGGTTTTTCTGCCAGTGCTCCTTACTACTATTTTGTTCAGGCTTCCTTCCAAGCACTCCATCATGACAGAGTGTGGGAAGGAGTGCCCCAAGTGCTTCAAGACACTGCAAAAAAGACAACCTCTGACCACATAAGAAACATACACAAATGTATGTCTTTTCTCTGAGGTCTTTGCAAAGGAGGGGAAACTCAGCATTCATGATCAACCGCACTTTTAACATCTTTAATATAACAGCTTCAAACATGAAATATGAAGTCATGTCACTTTCTGTGGTTCACTTTCCACTTGACATCAACATAGGCATTCACAAATGTGGGAAAGTGCCCATTTAAGAGAGAAAACCTCTTGCCTTTTTCACTGACATTCACGTTCAACAAATGCTCTTGCTGCTAACAGTTTGTGGATGTTATTACAGCTGGTCTTTCCTATCCCAAAAAATCTGTATCCCCAGCTTGAAAATGTACCAGAAGTGTTATTTTGCCATTTTATGTAAGAGACAATATTTAATGATACCACTGTATATAAAAGGAATGAGCACCCATGGGTTTGGGTATCCACAAACTCCAGCAGGTACCAAGAACCCATTGCATGCCCCACAATATCACTGCAATTTGGGCACAACTGTTTATGAAAAGACAGTTAACCGATTTCACGTTTCCTAGATCTCACCTGGAAATAGTGCAGTTCCCAAAAGCAAGCACAGCTGCCCGTATCCCCAGAGACACCAGTTCACAACAGCCAAACTCGGACTCAATATGTGCTTCTGAATTAATGAGGGATGACACCACTTTATTTGCCATTGTTCAATGCTGTGAAATCAAGGGAATTCCAGCAGAAGCAGTTGTGGCCAGAGTGAAGAGAGGGGGAGCCACTTCTACCTTGTCTTCTGCATATGTCATCTGTTGGGGACCCCTCCCCCCAGCACCAATTGCTGCTCTGGCCAGAGTGAAGAGAGAGGGGGACAGTTCCACCTTGTCTCCTGTGCTATGCTAATAATATAATATAATGTAATATATTGTATATACATATAATATTTATAATATTGTGATGTAATACAATATAATACTAACAATAATATATTATAATTATATATTTTATATTACAGGTAATATTACAATATAATGGTATGGTACAGTATCTATATATATATATAAATGTTCTGTGCATAATGAGTACCTTAAAAACAAAAGAACCAATTAATGAAATCACACCAAATTTGGCAACAAAAGTCTCACAACACAAGGAGTGACCATTACTCAAAAAATTATGATTTTGTCATTTGGGAGTTGTAGTTGCTGGGATTTATAGTTCACCTACAATCAAAGAGCATTCTGAACTCCATCAGCGATGGAATTGAACCAAACTTGGCGCACAGAACTCCCATGAACAACAGAAAATATTGGAAGGGTTTGGTGGGCATTGACCTTGAGTTTGGGAGTTGTAGTTCACCTACATCCAGAGAGCACTGTGGACTCAAACAATGATGGATCTGGACCAAACTTGGAACAAGCACTCAATACGCCCAAATATGAACACAGATGGAGTTTGGGGGAAACAGACCTTGACATTTGGGAGTTGTAGTCACTGGGATTTACAGTTAACCTACAATCAAAGAGCATTCTGAACCCCACGAACGACAGAATTGGGGCAAACTTCCCACACAGAACCCCCATGACCAACAGAAAATACTTAAGGCCATCCAATCCAACTCCCTTCATCAGGGCAAGAAAACGTAATCACAGTCCTCCTGACAAAGAGCCATCCAGCCATAGATAGATAGATTAGATACAGACAGATATGATTCACACAAACAGAGATATAGTATCATAGATTTGAAAGGGACCCCTAAAGAAGGACAATGACATGTTGCATGTTCCAGGGTGGGCAAACCAGACACTCTCCACATCAACACAGACAAAGAAACAGCAAGAAATACTGTTTATCCACAAGCAGAACAAAATTACATATATTAGAAACCAACACTTTCTCATTACTTTATTTTCCAGATCAACAGACTGGGTCACAGCAAGGCGTAGCAGGGGACAGCCAGTAGTAATATATAATGCTGATATTGTACTATGCTAATAATATAATATATTGTATGTATATATATCTTGTAAGCCGCTCTGAGTCCCCTTCGGGGTGAGAAGGGCGACATATAAATGTCGTGAATAAATAAATTGTAGAACTACAACTCCCGGAATTCCCTACCACTGAGCAATGGCAGTTAAAGCGGTGTCAAGGTGTCTTAATTCTATAGTGTAACTTCACACTCAAACTCCGCTTTACAGTCACTCCACACAAGCGACACAAGAGAGCGTCAATGGCACAGAGAGAAAATGAAGCCCCGCCATCGCCCCTTCCCCCCAAGGGAACAGAACACCTCTTGTAATGACACAAATCTAAAATAAATGGGCCGAAATAGTGGAGCCTGGCTCACCTTCCGACTCTCTCCTTTGCCATCCACCTCAGGGACGCTCTCGCGTTCGGCAGTTTCCAACTATTGTAACTGCCTTTCCACCCCGCCCTCTTGTGGCGCCTTCAATGGCGGCACGGCCAGCCAATCAGCCGCTTCTAAGTCCTCAAGCCTAACTAGCCAATCAAAGCTCGACCTAAACATTGCTCTCCGCCCGCCGCCCTCTTTAATTCGTTCGCGTCGCGTCAATCTATGTCCTTGTAACCAATCACGTCGCCTCTGGTGACTCAAGAGTGACGTGTGTCTCTATAGCCAATCGTGTGGCCTCCTGGAGAAAACCTGCGCGCGGCCAGCTCGTGGGAGGGATATTTAAAAACGCGGCCTCGTTTCAAACGGTTGCGGTGCTATTGCGCATGCGCAGAGGCCGGCAAGCTGAAGGAAAGAACCGAAGAGGCGTGGTTTGTTTCGTTTCGTTGCTATGGTGACATGTCAGAAACGCGTCCTACTGTACAGTAAATAGTACGTGTGAGACAGGACTGTAAATCACAGGCCAAGCCTACGCATATTTGCTCACAAATGCCACTAAAGGCCAGGAGATGGGCCTGGCATCTGCGACACAACTCTACTCAGTTAAAAGCTCCACTCTCAGGTAAGTACGCACCCAAAAATATCACAAGAAAATCAGTATCTCATTCATAGGAAATCACTATGGATTATTTTAACAGAAACAGGTCTACCACGACATTTGATTGTTCTGATACTTAAGAGAAGAAGCTATTGTTAGGATAGAATAAACAAAATGATTTCCAATTGTGTCAGCCACCTGAATAATAAGAAACACCTGAAGTGGATCTGTTTAACTTGTATGTCAAAAAATATCAAGCAGAAAGCAGGATTAGATTCAGAGGTCAGTATGGCACTTGAAGGGACGTCAACCATTTAAGATACACAAATGACACTAGCAGAAAATAGCAATGGTGAGGAACAATTGCTGAAAAATGTCAAGTAGGAAAGTGGGAGAGGAGATCTGCAGTTGACTGTTATGAAAACAAAATAACCACAGACAATTTGTTGTTGTTGATCATTTGTTCAGTCGTCTCCGACTCTTCGTGACCTCATGGACCAGCCCACGCCAGAGCTCCCTGTCGGCCGTCACCACCCCCAGCTCCTTCAAGGTCAGTCCAGTCACTTCAAGGATGCCATCCATCCATCTTGCCCTTGGGCCCCTCTTCCTTTTGCCTTCCACTTTCCCCAGCATCATTGTCTTCTCTAGGCTTTGCTGCAGATAATTTATACAGTGTTAAAGTGGGCAAGAAATACTTTGAAATAGTTTTTTTTCCAAATCTTGGATTAGTCATTAATCAGAATGGAGACTGTAGTCAAGAAATCAGAAGATGACTAGGACTTTGAATGGCAGCTATAAAAGAGCTAGATAAGACCTAAAATGTAAAAAAGAAAGACTACAACTAGATGGACTCAAGTTGAGGAAGACCTGATTTCTGAGTATGCAAGAGCTGGGAAGATCTGTTGATAGTGACTTGGAGATATCTCATTCATGGGGTTGCCATAAATCAAAGACTTGATGGCAATGGCACAATGGGTTAAACCTTTGTGCCGGCTGAACTGCTGACCTGAAGAGCTGAAGGTCAGCAGTTCGAATCCATGAGATGGGGTGAGCTTCCGTCTGTCAGCCCCAGCTTCCCATGTGGGGACATGAGAGAAGCCTCCCACAGGATGGTAACATATCTTGGAGTCCCCTGAACAACGTCCTTGCAGACAGCTGATTCACTCATACCAGAAGTGACTTCAATTCACTTCTGACATGATAAAAAAAATTAAGTGCAACAAGTGTGAAATATTACAGCAAATTCAGTTGCATCAAAGGTGACAGTCTCCTTGCTCCTCAGAGGCAAAATATCAGTCCTAGCAGATAAATATTTTTTCAGAACTCCCATCTGATAGCTGAGGGCCACTGAGACAAAGGCCTGTGGTTTGCATCACAAAAACAAACAACTGAAACACAATTTCCAGAATTAAGGTCACAATCTAGCTTGCAAATGTTTACTCAGAAGAAAGTCCCACAAAGTTTAATGTATCTTTCCCAGTAGTGTATCCCTTCATAGCAGTAATGTCAGTGACTTTAGGAAGGCTTGCATTGCTTAGAATAGCAACGCTTAGGGCCATGATGGCAAACCTATGACACGTGTGTCAGCACTGACACACGTAGCCATTTTCAATGACATGCAGCCCCATTTGGCTGCATACACAGAAGAATGGAGCAGCATCCCGAGAAGGACATTTCATCCTTGGCTCTTGCACCAGCATTTTTCTATAATGCCGAGATATATGGCATTATAGAAAAAAGCAGGTAAGTTAAATAATTAGTTTTTTGGTTTACTAAATGCAGTTATATATTACAATAATATTTTTTTGTTATATTGGGGTTTTTTTCTCGAAGTGACACCCCACCTGAGTTATGCTCAGTTTTTTGGCGAGTTTTGACACACCGAGCTCAAAAGGTTGGCCATCACTGGCTTAGGGCGTTCCTGTTTTTTGCTTTATCTTTAATTTATTAATTAATTTATTTACAGTATTTATATTCCGCCCTTCTCACCCTGAAGGGGACTCAGGGCGGATCACAATACACACATACACGGCAAATATTCAATGCTGTTTTTGACATACAGATGCCATTCAGCAGTTCTTCCACCTCCGGCATTTTTATGGTGTCATAAATTAGCCTCCCCGCTTTAAGCGGTCCCCAATTTTTCTACTCACAGCTCTCAGCTGTTTTCGAACTGCTTAGGTCGACAGTGAGCTGGGCATTTCTTTTTTTTTTTTTTAACAGCTATTAATAGTCGGGTGCTCAACCCCGACTCAGGCTTTGAACTTGCCACCTTTCAGTTCACAGTGATTTATTACACCTGATTAACCAGTTGTGCTACCAGCCCGGCCCTAGTAACAACAGTTTTTCATTACAATCTGGTCAAATATTTGTGGGGAAAGGCAAAATAGAGATTGATGAGCTCATTAAAGCAGATGTTCCTTTAAGGTCTGTTTGTATGCATGTGTAAGTTTACATGCACAGAGGAGTGGTCTCTGAATTTAAACCCAAGATACCACTTTTTGTTTGAATTGAATTTATTTATTTATTTTATTTATTAATCAATTTTATATACCAACACTCCCTGAAGGCTCGGAGCGGTTTACAATATACTTATATGATACATTACATTTAAAATATATATACTAATGGAGGGCCAGCATGGCATGGTGTACTTTGGCAACTAGAGTATATCTGTAGTAGAGTTAGTTGGCTGATACTGTTGTGGTTCCCTGACCAGGAAAGAGCGCTGAATCCTAACCACTAGACCACCAGGGAATTCAAGTTGCAACAAATCCTTTTCATGCATTTTGTCATTATTGCTAGGCCTGAAATGTATTAAGGATCCAACTGATGCTGGGCCTTTGAAGGGACTCCTAAGCTTGTGCATTTGGAGTGCTAGTGAGCCCATTTCCCTACAACGGTGCCCCTTCTTTATCAACTAGCACATCTGTCCATTTTGGGATTTTTTTTGGGAATATGTCTACAGAGACTGTCAAGATGTTTGTCTGTAGTTCACAACAAGAATTACAGTTTGAATTTCTTCTTGGCCATGAAGGCCCACTTAATGAACTTGGTCAAGTTATACTCTCTCAGCATCAGAGGAAGGCAAAGAGATTTTACCTGTGATGGGTTTTCCATAGGGTTGCCAGAAGTCAGAAGTGGTTGGACGGCCCACATGAACATCCATATCTTTTGTGTACGTGCCTTCAGATCTGTTGATTTTATGGCAACCCTTTGCATTTTTCAACGGGTTTTCTTAAGCAAGAAATGCTCCAAACTGGTTTTGCCAGTTCCTACCTTTGAAATATAGCCTACAGCATTTGGTATTAGATGGCCCTCTGTCATACAATATGGTGTAGTGCTTAGAGCATTGAACTATAATCCCGGTGTCCAGAATTTGTGTTCTTGCTTGACTATGGAAACCTACTAAAGCTAGTCACACTCTTCAAGCCTTGGAAGAAGGCAAAGGCAACCCCCTTCTGAGCAAATATTTCCAAGAAAACTCCAAGATAGCAGTTGGCAACCTCGTGAAGGCGCATACTTAACTAAGAAATATAGAAGACATCTCTTTGTTACGTGCCTGCAAGGTCTGTATTCAGGTGACAACCTATCAGAAGAGGGTTATCTCCCTCTGAGGCTGAGAGACAATGGATGCACCTACCCTGTTTTCCACCCCTGTAACTGCAATGGGCCAATACTATGGAATTATAGAAGTTGTAGGTGTCTGGCTTCCGCTGCCAAAGAATGTTGGGGCTTGACACCACTTTAATCTATCATGGCTCAGTGCTATGGAATCATCTGAGTTGTAGTTTTTACAAGGCCTTTAGCATTTGCTGCCAAACAGTGCAGGTGCCTCAACCAACGACAACTCCTAGCATCCCACAGCATTGAGCCATGACAATTAAAAGTGATGCCAAACTGAATCTATAGACTCATAGAGTTGGAAGGTGGCCCCCCTGCCTGTGGAACTTGCTCCCCAGCGAAATTAGGTCAACTGCTTCCCTCCTTCCTTTTAGGAAAAAGTTGGAAGACGTGGCTATGGGACCAGGCATTCGGATAGCAGGTTGACAGTAAAAATGATGACAATGCAATGGAAAATGGACTGTGGACTGGCTTTGGATTAAGTTGTTGATTGTTGAACTCGGACTATCTGTACTATTTTAATTTTTTTTAATTTAATGCACTGTTTACTTATTATGTAACTGTTGTTTTATCTGTTGTATATATGGGCCATCGAATTGTTGCTGGCTGTAAGCTGCCCTGAGTCCCCCTTCGGGGTAGGGAAGGGTGGGGTACAAATATCTGAAATAAATAAATAATAAATAAGGTACTTCGTGGCCCATTGGGTCCAGCCCCCTGCCAAGAAGCAGGAAAATCCAGTCCAACTCCCTTCAAAGAAGCAGGAAAATCACGTTCAAATGCTAGTAATTCTAGCTTCTTCCACACCACTGAATAAAATCCCACATTATCTGTTTGAACTGGAATATATGGCAGTGTGGACTCAGATAGCCCAGTTCAAAGCAGATATTGTGAGATTTTCTGCCTTGATATTCTGGGTGGAAGGGCCCTAAGATGCACCGAAGTCACCCAGTTAGTTTCTGTGGTCCAGCGGGGCCTCGAATCCTATTCCTCACTCATACCGCTCAAACCACCGCTGGGGGAAAATGGAGAGCACGTTCCTCTTGAAGACCCCAAAGATCCCTTGGCAGAGGCCCCGCCCGTTTCCTTCTGGCCACGCCCCTTCGGCACCGGGCCTCGCGCGCCATCTCGCTCTTTCTTCCTCCAATCCGGGGGGAGGAGAAGGAAGAGAAGGGGGGGGCAGGGCACCCGGAAGCGCTTTCCCTTCCTGGTGACGTTCCAGCCGCCAGCTCAGCCGGCCCAAGCAGTGAGGTGGCCTCCGTGGCGGKGGCGGCGAGGGCGGGCCCTTCCTCCTCGGCCTCCGGCGCATGTTCTGTCGCTGCTTCCTCTCGGCTCTTCGGCTCGGCGCTCCGCTCTCCGCGTCTCCTTCCCCTTCTCGCCTGCGGCTCCTCCTCATGAAGCCCGTGGTCGTCTTCGTGCTCGGCGGACCTGGGGCCGGGAAGGGGACGCAGTGCGCCCGCG